AGGGATTTGAAGATTAGATTATAAATGTAATGGGATATGTTTCGACAAAGAGTTATTCCTACTTAATGCATTAAAAACTAGCACTTATAACATTCTTATTATTCTTAAGACCAGAGATAGACTGGAAGCTATCTATTTTTCATGCCTTTTTTCTTTTTCTTTTACTTTATCTCACTTTTTCTTTTCCTTTCCTTTATAATTTGTATTTTCAATTTTTGTTTTCATTTCTAACTTTTAACTTTGTAATTTTAAAATCTTAATAAAATACTATTAAAAAAAAAGAGAGAAATCCTCCAAGCTGAGTTCCCACAACCCAGGAGCCTGAGCTAAAATGGAGTTACATTGCTTAGGGATCATTTGTGGGAACCCGGCTGTTGCCTTAGCGGACAGTGTGAATTCCATTCAGCTATCAAAGGGTTTATTTGGACATGGTGTGCATTTGGTAAGCACGGCCTCATGCTTTAACACAATGTTTCTCAACCTCAGCAATTTAAAAACGGGGGGACTTCAACTCCCAGAATGCCCCACCCAGTATGCTTTAAGATGTGTGGACTTCAACTCCCAGAATTCCCCAGCCAGCACATCTTAAAGTTGCTGAAGTTGAGGAACACGGCTTTAACATCCTGGGTGGACCAGCCATTGCTTCTGCTGCCAGACCCAAGAGGGATTTACATGACTCACACTGTCTGCATATAAACCCTGTCCATACATTTCCTGCGAAATAATTATAATTATGATTATATCGAGAATCATATAAATCGTGCTAATAATATAGAACACACGCTGGAAGAATGTGCTCTTCGGTGAACAGAAATGCAAGATGCTAGAGTTGTACACCACAACACAAGGCTTTTGGTAATGCTCCTAACGTCTAGTTCCACTAATTGCACTGAATGCAAAGCAATCTGAAAGGGAACGGGGTGGAGGAAAATCTTAGCACAAGAAGGTCCGCAAGAAGGATCTGAAACACTATTTGCCTGAGTCTCGGCTGACTGCTCAATTTCTTGGTGGTCTCCTATCCAAGTATTAATCAACTCCAGTTTTGCTTAGTTTCTGACATTAGTCAAGTCTGGTTCAGTGCTGCCCCCTAGCTGAGTGTATCTAGTTCCTTAACAGCAGCAAACCTTAACTTCACCAAACTGTTTTTATGAATGACGCTTCTGCCCAGAAGAGCCCATTTTCTCAGCATATTTCCCTGAAAATTTGGATGGCCCCAACCCTGTTAACTTTTGCACGGCCCTGAAGACCTGACTGCTTCCCCAGGCCTTTGGATCAGATGGGCAGATGAACTGTGCTTTCTCAATCTGCTTTTTTTCTGTAAGTGGGGTTATTGCTTATCCTTGGGTGCTGGGGGTAATATGTGGTGGGTTCTTCTGTGCTTTAATCCTTGTAAGCTGCCCAGAGTCACTTGTGTGAGATGGGGGGCTATATCAATCAAATAAATAAATAAATGAGGCCTTCTCTTAGATGTCATGAGCCTCAGATTCGGGCTATATAAATCAAATCAAATCAAATCAATCAATCAATGAGGCCCCCTCTTAGATGTCATGAGCCTCAAATTTGGGCTATATAAATCAATCCAGTCAAT